AGATCTAGAAGTATATTTTAGAAAATTGTCTGTGAAACATTTCTTAGAGCCTATAAAAAGAATTATTTTATTTTTATGTACATAGATATAAAAAAAACTTCATACCCAAAAACGCGAGTGGGGAAATGAAGGTGGGTGGTCGACAAAATCGATTATCCCTATACAATTATTATAACTTTTTTTGGTATTTTAAAAAGGTATAATTACTATTAATCCATTCATTAGTAAATTTTAAGAAAACAATAATGTAAGCAGATGTTGAAAAATTCGAAGTATAAAATCTATCTAGTTTCTGTCCCTATGTATGTTAGCAATAAACTTTAATGTGAACAATAAACCTCCCTGGTTTAATTTCCCATAAATATAAAAATATCTCCACGAGTCATTTATAGAAATTAAGTTATTATCAACTTGATATTAACAAAATCATAATATTTTTCTACAGAAACATACAAAGCAAAAGCAAAATTTAACTTATTTATTATTAACTGATAGTTATTCTTAAAGATAATGCATTAAAAATTACAAATTTTACTATTTGATATATCAGAATTTAGTTTTCGTAGTTTCAAATATAAATGGTTTCAAAGATATAACCATTAGACAATTAGAGCGTGTTGCAAGTGCTCTTTCTTTTGTATGCAAGTAACAATTGTATTAAACTTTCTAGATTTTTTCTTTTCGAAATTTTACATTTACATTTCTAGCAAGCAAGAAAGGAGGTTGTTGCAAAAGGTTTCTTTATTTAGTACTTCGAATTTCTATCCAATATTTAAACACAAAATATGATGAGGGTGTCGTTTAAACATTGTTTTATGACAGTTGTGGTTTGTTTCACAGCCACCATCTTGAATATAAATATATTGCATCCATAAAATTGTTAGGTACTTGAAGTATGTGGGATTTGTAAAGTCTCATGAAATAAATTGGCAATTTTGTTAAAACAGATTAAAGGTAGAGTTTTGATTAATAGGGTACAGAAATGTTTTGCTCACGCTCCATTAGACAGAAGGAGAAGGTCAAATATATGTGACATTTCATGTAAGACTCATATAGTTCTAATGTTACGTAAGAATGAGCAGGGACGCACCGGGAGAGGGAGGGGCTCATGGGTTCCTGTCCCCATTCATTTTTTTCACCCTGAGATTACTTTCTGCATTGCACTCACCTAAACTAACAGTGGGGCCTCCCGGAATAAGGTTCTTAATTACATGTGTAACAGAAATCGAATTCTTGTTTTGAATTTCAGTTGGGGAATTAACTCTAAACACTTTCTCTTCCGTGAAACCGACCATTTCGGGGTATGGACACGCGTTTTGCCTATTGGAAACCGCCCGTTGAAATTAAAAAAAAAAACAAGGAGAGAAGGTTTTTTTATTAAAAAAGATTTTGGCTCTTTTCCGTAGAAATATTCGGAAGGTAAACTTTTTATTAAACTTTTTAAAAATATTTATATTTCTTAATCTTAGTAACTGTCAGTAAGTAGAAAATGAATGACCTAAAGTATGAAGATAATATTATTAGTATTCGAATGAATTTATTCTATTTGTGTTAGAAACAAAAGAAAGTTGGAACAAATTGCGAATTCTAAGGATAAAGACGTTTTCGCGGATTTGCAAATGGAGAATAAATTGAGCTTATATAAATATATTCCTTATAGAGAGATAAAGTGTGGGTTCTTAAATAGCAATAAATATATTTTCTGTGTATTTTAGACAAATTTAGGATTCTAGAAAGTTAACATTAGCACGCAGCAATACCGTTGGAGACGGTGAAACCTACATTTTTAAATCTAGTTAGAAACGCAATTTTGAAACAAAAGATCAAAAACATGCAGGGAACTAGACAGAAGGAGAAGATGAGATTAAAGTGATAATATACTGGTATACTTCCTGACCTCTTAGCTTTTCTAGCTTTTATTTTACGCGCAAGCAAATAGATTCTAGTACAATATAGGGCAACGTAGAATTTGTACACTCTCCGTACAGCTGTATTCTGACGTCACAAGTGCCAATTCAGTTTTTGTGTCCGACAAAATTATCAATAATAGTGATACAGTTTTATAATAAGTGCTTATCTTACAGTAAACTAAGTGCAATTAAATGTATTCTTTATTTTCTGTCTTTACACTTTTTTATTTAATCTTGAAAAACATGTCAACTAATGTAAGAAAATTTCGCTTTTCTTGTTATATTTGACACTTATAACGTCGTGTATAATTGGTTCAGTAGTCTGTTACCACCTATTGTACTTGATAATCTATTTGCGCACAAGTATTATGTATTATATAAGAAAATCTATCCGTTTATACTACAAATAAGAAATTCAAAACATTTTTGTTCTTTTAAATACCTTTTCAAAGGGAAGAGTTATGATTGAAAATATATAAAATTTAAATTTTACTCGCAGTTTATTTTAGTAATATATACTAAAAACGGCACTTTTTGATGATTCAAAACAAGGAATGGAGTGGAGTGGGGGCACTGTGTAAACCATAGTGAACATATCATTTTAGTTGTTTTAAAAAGTAAAATCCACTGTATAATCAACTTTAATCCCCTGTTATGAAATTTGAGATATTGATCGACAATTGATTTTAAAGGAGGCCCAGGGAGGATTGTTTTCTCGCTGTATTTCTACAAATTATCAAAGTATCAGTATTAATCAAAAATGATTAATCGTTTTTTGTTTAACCTTGGACAGGGGCGTATTCAGTGGGGGGGCTATGGGGGCTAAACCCCCCCTGGACCAGTGAAATCTGTTGATTTCAGGGGGTGTTCAGGCCCCAACGGGTGCTGAGCCCCCCTGGAAAGATAAAAAAATTTAAGCCCCCCCTCCTCCCGGACATATTCCTGAATACGCCCCTAACCTTGGATGATTTGTATTTTTAATCAATAAATACGGGAGCTAATTTTGATATTCAGCTTAACAACCGAAATATTTACATCGATATTCTAATTTAAAACGTTTTTTTTTCTGAAGGTTTTGTGTTCGTTGTTCGTTGTCGTATGACGGATACAAGGCCTACGAATTAAGTGTGAATTAAATTATGCACAATTAATAAATGAATGAGAACATGTTTGAATATTATATGGATAGGCTATTTCAGCAATAGACATTTTATAGAAAACGAAATAGTAAGACCATAAAACAATTTAAATTAAATTAAAATGAAATTTCCGGTCTATGAAATGACCTGTCTATGAAATGTCCTGTCTATGAAATGTCGTTTTAATGAAATGGCCTGTCTATGAAATGTCCTGTCTTTGAAATGTCCTGTCTATGAAATGTCATGTCTATGAAATGTTTTGCATATGAAATGTTCGGTATATGAAACGTCCTGTCTAGTCTAAAATATGTCCTGTCTATGAAATGTCCTGCCTATGAAATGTTCTGTCTATGAAATGTCCTATCTAAAAAATGTCATGTCGATGAAATGTCCTGTCTATAAAATATTCTGTCTATGAAGTGTTCTGTCTATTACATGTCCTGAATGAAATATCCTAACTATCCTAAATGTCCTATTTATAAAACGTCTCTAGGAAATTATCTTTATGTCTTGGTTTTGAAAGTCCTTTCTATGAAGTTTCCTAACAACATTTTTAACAAATATGATCATAGAATTTATTGGGAAATAGTGGAATAAGAACACTCCGTTTTTTTACCATAATATGTTTGCCATTATTATACTTGCTATAAATACATTTGCCATAATTGTAACCCTTTTCCTAATTACTTTTGTTATAATTTTCTTATTTTTACAAAGGAGAAATCTAAATTATTAAAAAAAATAATTTCCCAACTTTAGTTTACAAACTGTAAAGTTTAGTACCATATTTTCTAATATTTTCTTCAGTGACCTTCGAGACTACCATGGAAGGATAAACCCATGGTTTGGGAGAGAAATAACTACACCTTTACATTATAGCATATTCATATTCTCTACTGAAGTATTTGAAATGTTCAATATGTTTTGAGTAACATATAATTAATTTTAATAATGGCAGTGTAATTATGGCAAGTGTAACTTATGTCAAGTGCAACTTATGTAATTTATGGTAAGTTTAACTTATGGCAAGTGTAACTTATGTCAAATCAAACATATTATGGCATGTGGAAAAATGTCAAACATATGATGGCAAATGAAACTGAGGCTATAAAAATGCAGATTAGTTCAGGAATAAACCAGCTTTGACTTATTGCCATTAAAAATACGAAATTTTGAATCCCTAATTTGACCAAAAAATCCCGCGGAATTTTCCTCTGGGTATTTTGGTAACTTTTTTGTCCCAGAGTGAGTTATGAAATGTTGTGTGTCCCCTTTCCATAACTCGCTGAAAAAGATACAGCTGATTACATTACAATTGAGAGACGACTTAAGGTTGTAATTTTGACAGCACAAAAATTATAGCCACATTTTCGAATTATCAGTATTAGAGGTACTTGTGATAACTAGGATTCTACTCCTAAAATTAGGTTACAAATGAATGCCGCAAATTATTTTAAATATTAAGGACGACCACTGATGTCCTTTAATTTTCATGTTTCTTGGGACACCCTGTATAAACTTAAATAGCTAGCCAAATATAATGCATTTCTTATCCCCGACCTTCTTTTAGTGAGGTGAGTGCAATTTATAAAATCTGGATTTTCTGTAGAATATAGAGTTTGTATACAAATATAGCTATAACTATTAAAATATAAAAATTCAGTCAACATTAAAATGAAGAATACTTACTCTTATGTTATGTCGTACAGTCGTAATATAATTTAATATAATTTTCATTAAAACAGAAAAAGTAATAAAATCGCATTTCATCTTCATTTAAAAGACAGAAAACGAAAGCACATGTTGAAGAGTCAATGAATATAAATATAAAATGCATAGTTTTTGGATTCATTCTGATTTTGTCAATCCCTGACAATCAGAGATGAAAACTTCAAAAGTTTCCTCTTAACTCTTGATGTTTTCTAAAAATAAAATGATATTAAAGACGACATTAATTTTCTTCTCATATATGTATTTATTTTCTTTTCCAAACAGATCCGAAGTCTGGGTTTTCTATCAATCTCATCCTTGTTAAATCGGATCTATCCTAAAACATCAAATATATTTTCGAATTCTTTGCTTGTTTTGAATAATAAGTTTTATTGTATTTACCTTTACCGTGCCCGTAGACTCTCCTTAGTCCTTACACATAAAATATATCGTTCAAATTCATGTGAACAATTAATCTACTGGACAAATTGACATTTTTGGACGGATCTGAAATTAAATATGTCCCGAAATATCTTTATTTTGTCACAGTTTATCTCTAATTTTGCAGGAGAAGGTTTACTTTTTTTATCAAATGTACAATATATCTACAATTTATTGCAAATTGAAAAAAAGTAAAAAAATTTCATCATGAATTTCAGAAAGAATGTGAGAGGGGCAAAATGTTATCACCCAGTCAAAAGAGAAAAGGCTAAAACATTGTTCGACATGGCTGATTAAAAAGTAGTATTTGAGAAACTGATTAATATCTTGAATTGAATTACAATCTTTACTAATACGATCGAATCATAAACTGTTCAAATATCTTTAGAAATCAGTTGTAACGAACAGATTTATAGCATTTTTAACTATAGGATGTTTGGACCAATGCCAAAAACTAAAGTGAAACCAAATCAATTCAATATGACAGTTGGTTGTATTACGGGGAGTCTCAGAGGTTTATTAGATTTTAAATTATAATTTCTGCGATTCAAATTTTGATTTAAATGGCATAATTTCAAATGACCCTCCATTTGTAGGTAGTGGGTATAAAACGCCCAATCTAACAACAAAACACACCCCAAAAAATGTCCAATCCAATAAAACGTCCAATAACAATTTGTTTTCCAACTCTTTTTTTTTAACTCTCAAGGTTTGGTCTGACAGACTTATTCTTATTTATCCAGAGGCACGCTTATATAAGTTTATGAAGTCATAGAAAATACATATTTTCATTTGAATTGTTGAAAACTGTTTGGACACAGAATATTCGGGTTTTTCAAATAGCACATTATACGTCCAGTGAAACTTAAAGGAAACCCTTCTTTGAATGTAATGATCTATAGGTTAAATTAGGGGTTTCATATCAGAAACAAAGTCTTTTAATGCGATTTGTAATAATTTGAGGAAATGAAAAAAAAATGCAAGGAATCATGAATTTAAGAAAATAAAAAAATCTCTGGAGTCTTTTTAGTCTTATCCTGTGAGTGTATAACCCTTTATTTACTAATGTACAATCTATATTAGGTATAGATTGTACATGGAATTACTGTTTTATCTATGACTAAATACTGTTGTCACATCTTTTTGCATTTGTTTTTGATTTTTAATCTTCTTTTTATGATACCGTCAAATTCTTAATATAAGGACTTTTTTCCCAGTTTGTATGTTATTCTTACAAAAGAGAAATAGTCTGAAAAAGTTAATATAATGAATATGTTTTCTGCTCTGGGTTTTGGCAGCTCGGACTATATGCAGGATTGAGGACACACATCACATTCGGAAACAAGTGGGATCTTTTAT